TAATAAAATTCAATAACGCAGTAAATGATATAAAATTTGCAATTCACCCAAACTTGTTTGACACTTTTTCTTTCTTTACCACCCTCATAAATAACATCTTTTCGTCACATATATCAAATAACAAATTTCCATCAAATGAAAATTAGAAATAGTGAGAAAAAATTTTTGTATTTAATTTGCTTTTCATTCAATTATTTTTGTTTGCATGCTAATTTTCTCAATTATTATTATTTTTTTAATTTTACTAAATTTACAGAGAAAAATAACGGAAAAAAGCACAGTAGCAGCGACATTCCAGGAATTATCAACGATGATCACATCAAATCAACAGAATTTGAGTAATTCTAATAAAATTTTCTACATTTTTCTATAGTTTTTTTTTTTCAATTTAATAAATTTTAATCATTGCATGTAAATTAAAATAAATCAAAGATCAAACAAGCAATGGTAAAAAAACAAAAAGTTTTTTATTTTTTTTTAAAATTTTTTTGCAATCTAGAAATCATCGTTTACAAAATGTTGTCAACATGTATAATTGCAAAAAAAATTTTTTTTTTCACAAGAACATTTCAAAATTATTCCATTTTAATCAAATATCAAATATGAAAATGTTGCAACAAATACTGTTAGCAAAATATTCATTCAGATGCTAACAGCACATCTGAGATTATCATTGATGTTCCACGTTCTGATTCAACACAATCAACGCTAAATTCACACGGTTCCGGTAGCTATCACGGTGATTGTTCCTCAGTGAACAGTTTGCATTCGATAACGGAATATAAAGATGGAATGAATCGAAGACAAATTAATAGCATTAATGAATCACGTGAATCTCTTAGCAGTCGGCTTAGTCGTGGATTTCTTGAATTTACTCAGGGTAGCAGTGATAGATTGCAGAAATGGAAAAATAAATTGCAAAATGGTCGTCGACACAAAGATTCAAGTGAACCACCACCTATTAACAGGTCAGTTTTACAGTTTCAGTTTTTTTTTTCTTTTACTAATTCTTTGCTACTAAAATTAAATATGTTTGGAAAAAATTTTTACTAATTTTCTGTCATTAAAATTAAATATATTTGAAAAAATAAGATGAATGGACAAATGATAGCAAGTAATTTAATTATTAATTACAGTACTCTTCCTACTTACTACAGCTAACAGTATGGGTTAACAATGTTTCAAAGTATTTACATTAAAATAAACTAATTAAAAGTTGCATTAAGAAATAGATGAATGATATTATATGTTTTGTGTGGCTTCATTTATTAAAATAGATGATTAATTACGAAACTGTCGAGATTAACAGGTGATTTCGATCGAAGAAGGAGATATAGGATATTAGGTCATATTAGTAGTAAAGTGTAAATACACGGAATGACCTTCCTTCTCTTTCCCCTAAAACGGTCAACTGTGACAATTGGATATTGCTATTTGAATATAAAATTTGTCCTTTATAGGATTGTATTGTTTTTCAATATTACGACAGCACTCAAAATTGCAATTTGAAACTTTGACAATTGATCATAAAACATTTTAAAATACATACATGAAATGTGAATAACTGAAATGAAGTAGGAAATTTTGTACAAATTAATATACTTCATTGGCGGATTGAAATTATAGAATCTTTCAGAAAGAAACTTGCCTTCAGCGGAGTTTGATTTTAGTTATTTTTGGCTAGTTTTGTTTATCAAACAATTCTTATATTTTAATTTTTATTTTTAGAAATCATTAATTTTCAGTAATCATAGAAATGATGTAAATGCTTATTACATAAATGCTTATTACTGGAAATCAGAAATTGATCTCTAAAAATAATAATTGAAATATAAGGATTTCTTTAAGATGAATTAATGAGATTTTAGGTAATTAGTGAACAAATTATTATTTATTCATTTATTGTACTATATTTCATTCGTTGAATGAATCGAATTTATTTTAAATCCAAAATATCTATATAAATTAATATCGATTTACAATTAAGCAGTTATAATTGTGGTGACAAATTTAAATATCAAAAAATTACAAACTTCTCAGTCAATCTCATTACGAACTTAAAAACTCTTTAAATGAAAATTAAAAGATTTTCAAATGTCAAGTTTTACAGAGATAAAACTTTAACATTTATATTGAAGTGAAAATTTATGTTACATTATAAATGAAATAAAACGTAAAAAGTGCTGCTCAATTTTTGTTTAAAATAAACTGGAGTTTTTTTTTTTTTGATAGTTTTTTTTTATAACCAATATTACAACTGCTTCACTGTAAATTGATAGTAAGAAGAATATGGGAGAAAGGATTGGGAAGTGAATTGCTGTAACTATTTATTTATTTTTCTTACAAAAATATTTGATATGATCAGTTTAAAATTAATCGAACGTCAGGCTCATCATATGGGATACATTACACTGATATATTTTACACAAAAAATGATCATCTAAATTCTAATAAAATAAATTTGAATTTGTGAATTTCAGATTTCATCGATTATATTTTTGTTTGAAACAAAATTAAGCATTAATAATAGGGAATTAAGATAAACTAATTTTGAGGTTTATTTGTTGGCTTTTCTATGCCACGTTTAAATTTCTCTCTCTCTCTCTCTCTCTCACTCTCTCTCTCTCTCTTGCTCCTCTTTTCTAGTATTTAGTGTACGATTAGCATTGAAATAAAATTTTCCTGTTACCTTGGTTAGATGATTATATCTTGTCATCCATTTACTGCAATTCAGAAGTTATTGACAAGTGTTAACATAAAAATGAGTGGGTGTGTGTCACATTTTTGTGACACCTTGTCACCCATTTCTTTCTTCCACTTATAAAATGCATTATTTATTTTTATGAATTATTTCTTTCAATATGATCAAAGTGAGAGTTTGCTATCAATGATATGTCTGAATTTGATTTTAATTTTTTTTCCTCATGGAATACTAGAATAATGCTGTAGTAAAAATAAGATTTCTTTGGTGAATTTATCATGGATACTATAGGAAATTTGTACAATTTGAAAAAATATCAATCACATATAGTAGAGTTATTTATAGTTAACAAATTTCATTGAAAAAGTTTCAAATTAATTGCAGACAGTTCTTGATTTGCAAACGGTTAATTACTATGAATTCATTTTTCATAGTTCAATAATTAATGAAAACGAAATATTATGCCTAATTCATTTCCTTTTTCCACTATATTTTATCCAATTATTTGTTCATCAATTTATTTACATGTAAACAATTACTTTTAAATTTGAGTTTTGCTTTTTTTTCTTTGACATTTCAACTTACCTTATATTGATTTATGTGTTCAGTTTAAAATTTTTAAGTTCATTTTTGATAGATTGATAAGAAGGGAAGAGAAGAGATCAGACGATATATCATTTATTGCACAACTGATGTATAAGTTGATTGAATCTTTCATGTAAAGAAGTGAAAAGTTAATTTACCTATTATCAAGAAAATAAAAAACTAATTTATCTATTATTGAAAAAGTAAGAAGCTAATTTACCTTTTATCAAAAAATTAAGAAGCTAATTTACTTATTACCATTATCTTCCAACTTTCCCTTTGCTTGGCGATTAACTTGGAAATATTGTGTGCTAAATAAATGACCAAATTGTTTTGGAATAGTGATAAATTGTTTTGCCAAAAGAAAAAAAAAAACTCTTTTCAGGAAAATGCTGACAGCAAGTCAAGAGCAAAATGGTCATTTGTCAGATGTTGACGTTGTACTTGATTGGGCAATACCCAAATGTGATTCCACTGATCAGGTAATTTACAAATGTGATTCCACAGATAATAAATTTTTACGGATTTTTCATAGATATGATTCAAAATTCTAAATTAATCACTTATAGGAAGGATCAAATTTGCATAAGCAAAAATTCCTTTAAAATACATTTTTATTTTAAAAAGAATTTTTTTCAAAACTATGTTCTTACGAATTATTGCTGTCAGTCAATTTTGGCAAAATATTAAAAAAAAAAATTTTTTTTTGCAAGTAATTTTGTTCTATTTCCTTTTTGATATTTCACTTCCTTCTCTATATCATAAAATTAGCTGGGAAAAAAATTTTTTCGAAGTTTTGGAAAAAAAGAGAAGTACATTTTTTCCTTAAATTAAATTCTATAAAAAAAACAGTTTCACGAAGTAAATTTCTGCTAAGTAAACTTTTTCTTTTTTTCTTTTCTCTTTGAAATATATACATTGTTACATTTACTT